GGGGCCTGGTGCCGTGTCCGACAGGCGTCCCTGGGGGCGAGCGCACCGTCCCCGCCCGGAGGGGACGGGCAGGCCCTGGGGGGGGGGGCAGCTCTCTGGGGGCCGGGGAGTGCCCCGCTGTGAGGCAGTGGAACAGCCCAGTGCCAGAGCAGCCGCTCAGCACCCCCCGAGGTACCCGAGCAGAGAAACTCGTGTCGTGAGAATGTCAACATGACAACTGAAAATCCACGAGACCAGATCAGACAACTGATTAGTCGACTCTGTTTTATTCGGTGACCTTGAACCCGCCGGCATGCGGTAGACAGCCACTCCAGGCGGGCGCTGCGGGAGCCATGGCGTCGCCAGAGAGCACCCGCCCCCGGGGGGTGGGGATAAACTGGCGTGAGCCGTCTCCCTGGTGACGGTTACACGGACACCTCTGGAGGCACGGTCTCAGTTGAGTGGCTGCGGCGCTCGCCGAGCGGCAGGAGGAAAGGGGTGCGGCCACAGCGGCCGAGGCTGGACAGGTGCAGATGGGCAGCCGCTGGGCAGCCGCTGGGCTGGCAAGCCAGTTGGCTGGGCTGGACCCCGGGACCCGGACGGCCAGGACGTGTGATCGCACGCCGCCGGCAGGGTCCCCCGCCTGCCCAACTGGGTCTTCGCTCCGTGGGCCCCGGGGCGTCCAGGATCGGGGTGGCCATCCCGTGCCCGCGGCTGGCTGTGCTGCAGGGCCCTGAGGCCGCGTGGGCTCAGAGCTGCTGGGGACGGAGGGGCGCTCGAGGGGACTGGGGGCCGGGCACTGTCCGTGAGACCCGACAGGAGGCCCCCCCCTGGGCCAGACGAGCTGGAGTTCACGGCCAGAGAGCCCCATGGTGCTGCTCAGGAGTCTAAACCCGCTGCTGTGGTGTCGGACTGCTTGGCCAGGGCGGAGGTGGAGGGAAGGAGTCCCGGGGGCCCACGCCACGGAGCGTGGCCGACACGGGAGGGACGTGCAGGGGGCCAGCTGGGGCCGCGGACAGCAGCAGAGCTCTGGTGAAGGCACACAGTGCAGAGAGCAGGACTGTCCCCTGCGGCCTGAGACAGGCACAGCGGGGCGGGGAGGGACGCAGGTGACCCTGGCACTGCACGGGAGCCGGCCTCACACTGACGCAGGCGGAGGGCTGGGCGCCCCCCCCCACCCCATGCCTCCATCCTCTCCCGCAAGGTGCCCTGGGATGACCTCCGCTACCTGTTCGGGGAAATCATGTACGGCGGCCACATCACGGACGACTGGGACCGGCGGCTCTGCAGGACCTACCTGCTGGAGTACATCCGGGTGGAGATGCTGGAGGGGGAGGTGCAGCTGGCCCCCGGGTTCCACACCCCCCCCAACCTGGACTACAAGGTGAGGAGGGCTCCCGGGGGCGGGCCGCCCGTTCAACACGGACTCGCTCTGGGAGGCCCGGTGCCAGAGGGCAGCGGCCGGCGAGTCGCCTCCAGGGGGCACACCAGTCGTTGGGCAGGAAGTCAGGGAACCCAAGAGGGTTTGAAATGCAGCTTCTGGGCAGGGGCGGGGAGGTCAGTTCAGTAGCTGGGGAGCAAAGGGCAGCGGCCCGGGAAGGAGGGTCGGGGCCGCAGGTGTGCGCAGAGGGCAAGATGGGGGGGGGGGTGGATTCCAGTAAGCAGGCCCCGGCCCGCACAGGTCCGCCTGGGCAGCCTGCTGACCCGCTGACCCGCCGCCCTTCTCAGGGGTACCACGAGTACATCAACGAGAACCTGCCCCCCGAGAGTCCCTACCTGTACGGCCTGCACCCCAACGCCGAGATCGGCTTCTTGACGGTCACCTCCGAGAAGCTGTTCCGCACGGTCCTGGAGATGCAGCCCAAGGAGACGGACTCGGGCGCTGGCACCGGCGTGTCTCGCGAGGAGAAGGTAGGAGCCCCACGCTCCACACCCCGATTGGCGGCGGCCCCCGCAACCAGTCGGCAACCACGCTCGGACCTCAGGGCCAGAGACCCTGGGGCGGGCGCAGGCTCACAGGCCTGGGGGGCACCTGCCCCGCCCGCCCCCGCACGCCCTCTGCACGCCAACCCGGGACGGCCCCTCCCGGGGCTCGCGGACGGTGGCAGCGGGCAGCCCCAGGGGCCCCCGAGCAGCACCGAGGCCGTCAGGGCGTCCACTGTGTCCCCACGAGGCTGGCCCGCCTCGGCCGCCTCAGCAGGCGTCACCCTCCGCCCTTTGTGACGAGCGCTCCTCACAACCAGCCAAGTGGTGGGCTTCCAGGGAAAGAGACCAAATTCTTTTTTTGTTTTAAAGGTCTTTATTGATTTATTTTTAGACAGAGGGGAAGGGAGGGAGAAAAGGAGAGAAACGTCCGTGTGTGGTTGCCTCTCGCGCGCCCCCTACTGGGGACCTGGCCCACAGCCCAGGCCTGTGCCCTGACTGGGAATGGAACCCGTGACCCTGTGGTTCACAGGCTGGCGCTCAGTCCACTGAGCCACACCGGCCAGGGCTGGAGACCAAATCCTTGCCTGGAAGACCCTCAGTGCTGCTAGGCCCTGTGACCGTGTTCATGGTCTAAGGACGGTCACCAGAAGTCTGCTGACAGGCAGGGCATGCTCCTGGCCACCGTGCAGGCCTGTCCCTGCAGACGGACAACGCAGAGGACGAAGTCCAACCCCACGACCGCCCGCTGACCCCACGGGGGAGCAGGCTGAGTGTTGGAAGGCCAGGGCACTCGGAGCCTGTGGGCCGAGACTCCCTTCCCCTTCTCAGATGTGTCCTGGTTCCCGGGCAACTCCACCGCCTCTGCTCCCAGACTCGGGGCTGGGAACGGGGGGGCGGGCGCCCTGACCCTGATGCCGGAGGGCAGGCGGGGCAGTGACCGGGCTGCTGGGGCCACCTTCCAGGTGAAGGCCGTGCTGGACGAGATCCTGGAGAAGACCCCAGAGATGTTCAACATGGCCGAGATCATGGCGAAGGCGGCCGAGAAGACCCCTTACGTGGTGGTCGCCTTTCAGGAGTGCGAGCGGATGAACATCCTGACCAACGAGATGCGGCGTTCGCTGAAGGAGCTGAACTTGGGGCTGAAGGTAAAAGACGCAGGGGCCGGCTGGGCCCCCGGACACGCCACAGGGGTCGGGCTGCCACCAAGGGGTCGGCTGGACCGCCGCAGGCTGACTCACCGCCTCAACTACACAACAAACCACCGTCTGCAGGCGGCTGGGCAGCTCGGCCCTGCCGTCCCCGGCGTGGAGCTGCGGGCGTCCAGAGCAGGCCACCCGCAGCAGGAGGCGCCTGTGTGGCCACCGCGGGGCGTCTGCAGCAGCAGCTTGGTGGCCCGCACCCCACACACAGCCACACCTTCACCACACACACGGGTGGTGCCCCTCCCTGCCCGGAGCCGGCCAAGCGCGGCCCGGGGCTGACCAGCCCCGCCACAAGCCGAGTGCCGCAGCCCTGCCCGCTTGTCCGCCCCCCAGGGGGAGCTGACCATCACGACCGACATGGAAGACCTGTCCACGGCTCTGTTCTACGACACCGTGCCCGACTCGTGGGTGGCCCGGGCCTACCCCTCCATGATGGGCCTGGCGGCCTGGTACGCCGACCTGCTGCTCCGCATCAGGGTGAGCACCGGGCCCCGGCCCTGAGCAGGCAGGAGCGGGGCTGGGCCGGGTCGGAGCGGGACTGGCGGCGCCGGCCTGCCTCTGACGGGAAGACAGTGGCGGCCGGAAGCGCGAGCAGCTCCCCCCGACCCACCCCAGCGTTCGGCGCCCCCCTCCCCCCCCCCGTCCTAGCCTCCTGCTCCCCGACGTAAACCGGAGCCAGGCAGGGAGCCAGGTCCCGGCCACAAGGTGCCATCCTCAAGCCCGCCCGAGGGGCTGGCGGAGGCCCCCCGCGTGACCCGCTCGCCTCCCCACCCCACCCCACCCCCGCAGGAGCTGGAGGCCTGGACGACGGACTTCGCCCTGCCCACCACCGTGTGGCTCGCCGGCTTCTTCAACCCGCAGTCCTTCCTCACGGCCATCATGCAGTCCATGGCCAGGAAGAACGAGTGGCCACTGGACAGGATGTGTCTGTCCGTGGAGGTGACCAAGAAGAACCGGGAGGACGTGACCGCCCCGCCCCGCGAGGGCTCCTACGTGTACGGGCTCTTCATGGAAGGTGAGGGCGTGGCCCCGGGGCCGCCGGCATGGGCTCCTGGCCACCACAGCCGGGTGCACCACGAACGGGGCGGGGGCCGGGCGCTCAGAGCGGACCGGACACAGTGACGGGGTCCCGCAGACAGGCTCAGCCCGGTCTGGGGGACGGGAAAGTGGCCCTCCAGGCAAGGAGCAGGCTCGCCCCCATGTCAGGCCCTGTCTGAGGGAGGGGAGGGACACCAGGACACAGGTGCATTTGGGGGCTGAGGGCCCCCGGCCACGCCCCACCCCTATCAAGCAGGGGAGCAAGGGAGCCCAGGGCCGGCCACCACGGGGCGGGGGGGTTGTTGTGTGCCAGGACAGAGCAGCAGGAGGGAGAGGCCGCGTCCCCGGCGCCACCCTGAGCGGAGGGCCAGCGGCTCCACCACAAAGGCCGGCCCTGCCCAGCGAGTGGTGCCGCCCTGCGCTGGGCGGCGTCAGGGCCCCGCGCCCACACCACCACCGACAGGCATGCTGCCCTCCTCCGTGTTTATTTCGGAATTAATTACAGACAGGAAACGTAACCATCACCGAGGCGGGGGCGGACACAACAGCGGCCCGGGTAAAGGCAGAACGGGGCCGGGGCGCGCGCACGTGTGGAGGCCGGGCTGCGCATGAGCACAGGGCGCAGGGGGGGCGGAGCCGGGGCCGCTGACCCCGTGACTCCCGCGGAGTGGGAGTACGTCACGGGCGTACGATGGGGCAGCGTGGAGTGTGTGCCCGGTGCGCCGTGGACAGAGGCAGTCACGCGCCCCCAGCGGCGGCCCGTCTACAACCCCATGTTTAGCGTTCCCGCGCCCCTGGCGAGCAGACTGGGGCCGGTGTGCGTGCGGGGGCGGGGCCCGGCAGGCCACGCCCTCCGGGCCCTTCCCCGGGCTCACCGCCTGCACGGTCCCGCAGGGGCGCGCTGGGACACCCAGACCGGAGTCATCGCCGAGGCGCGGCTGAAGGAGCTGACGCCAGCCGTGCCCGTCATCTTCGTCAAGGCCATCCCTGTGGACCGCATGGAGACCAAGAACATGTATGAGTGTCCCGTGTACAAGACGCGCGTGCGCGGCCCCACCTACGTCTGGACCTTCAACCTGAAGACCAAGGAGAGGGCTTCCAAGTGGGTGCTGGCGGCCGTGGCGCTGCTGCTGCAGGCCTAGCCCGAGCCCGAGCCCGGCCGGACCCTCCCGCAGGCCGTGCTGACCACCGGAAACCCGGTCCTGAGACCTGCGCTGGCGCTCGCAGCGGCCAGAGGTCGCCTTCCATTCCCCTGAGTAACCGGGGCCGTTAGAGCCCCAGGCACCTGAGTGCGGGGGCATGTGGAAGGGGGTGCGGGCCGATTAAAGCACCGACCTCACCCAGTTGTGTCTGCGTCCCCTGAGCGGCTTCAGACCAGCACCTGACGGCCACCGAGAGCCCCGCACAGGCCTGGGGAGGGGGGTGATTCCCAGTGGCTAGGGCAAGTGTCCCTGGAGGGACCGAGCCCCAAGTCCCGACTTCCCTGGAGGGCCAGTCGGGTTAACTTCCTCCCAGCAGCGGCACCGAGGGTCAGGGCGCCGCCACCACCCCCGGGGGCCTGGCTGCAGCCGGTGACCCCCGCCCCCAACAGGAGCACGGGAGCCGCCGCGGCCGGGCCGTTCCCTAGGGCGCCGCCCTCCATCCCCGTCTCGGGTGCGGCGCCCTCTCCACACGCTGCCCAGAGGAGCCGTTTCCATGCAGCCGACGCACATCCCCCCACTGCCCCCGTCCCCAGACCCCTGGGAACAGGGACCAGCTTAGCCATGACTGTCCTGGGCAGCCACACAAAGAACCCCAAGTCCACAGGCCCCCCTTTTCCTCCTGGGCAGCATTTCGCCTTCCTCGTCTCCGGTCCCCTCCCTGCACCCCTCGGCGTGCACCTCCGGCGGTCCCGCTCAGGGCCAGCGTGAGCCGGGCGGGTCGCCAGGCCAGGCACACCTGCCCTCCAACAGCACAGGGACCCTCACCCAGACCAGCGAGGCCTCCCCGCCACCGTCTGCGGCCCGGGAACAAGGCCCTGGGCACGTCCCTCGGCCCACATGTCACATGTCGGGTCCCCGGCCCTGTCCAGGTGGACGGGGCTCAGGGACCCAGCTGGGACCTCCAAGGAAAGGCAGTCGGACACACCTGTGGCTGCACACGGTGGCCAAGGGGGGCAGCGCCAGAGGGGCCAGCGGCTGCCCCAAGTAATGGGGTAATGGGGGGCTGTGAAGCTGCCCCCAGCTGCCCTGGGATACACCTGGCTGAGACCTGCAGCCCTGATCACCTGTCCCCAGAACCACCCCCGCAGTGTCTGACGGCAGATGGCCAGGCTGCCGCAGGACACTCCAGCCGAGCGGCCGGGCTGCCACTGGAGGCTGGCAGGGACGTGGGGTGCAGGCCCGAGGGGACAAGCTGGGAAGCAGGGGGCACAGGAAGGCTGCTAGTGGGGCCCACAGACGGCACAAGCAGAGGCAAGGCCGCCCCCCCCCCAGGGACACTGGCTGGAGGACTTGGGCCCAGACTGCGGCTCAGTGGGCGGTCCTGGAAGCCAGGAACCTGAGGCTGGCGAGTCACAACCAACCAACCAACCAACCAACCAACCAACCAACCAACCAACCATCCTGGGCCCGGGGGCAGGGCTGCTCCAGGGCAGGCGTCCAGGCCAAGGAGCCTGGCTGCCCGGCCACCACCTCTGCCGGCCAGGAGGGGTCACTGCAGCCCTTCACATGCAGGCCGGGGGACGGCTGTGGGGGGGGGGCCGGGGGGGGGTGAACAGGCCAGGCCACCAGGCACCCTCTTCTCAATCCCTGGTAATAACCACAAAATGGGAACTTTTCCCAATTTTGCCTTCAGGGCCCAAAACAGCCGTATCACACAACATGCTGTGGGCTGACAGAATTATCTCTGGACTCCCCAAGAGGAGCCTCAGCTCCGGGTGCTCCGGGGCACCAGCCGGGGACAGGGAGGCAGGGCCCGGGGCCGGCCTGCTCCGAGGTCACCTGCGCACCACTCCTCGGGTCTGCGCCCCGCAGCGGAGCTCTGGGGAGAGCTGCTGGGGTGGGGGGCAGAGACCTGCCTGCCCGGGGCTGCCGGGAGGTGATTAGCAGAGACGAGGGGAGGGGCTGGGCGGTGCTGGGGTTGCTCCCTCGTGCAGCCTGCCCCGCCCCACAGGGGGTGCGGCCCTGCGCGCCCACAGCCTCTCCAAACAGAGCTGGCCCTGGCACATTCTTGCCCTGGCACATTCTTTCGGCCTCTCCGGTCCAACTGTCCCACAGGGGAGTTTACTAACCAGCTGCAAGGTAAACAGGGCCCGCTCACGTGCCGCAGCCCCAGGGAAGTGCGTCCGGCTGCCACCCACCTCCAGCCCGGGCCCTGCAGGCCGCGCTGCCCTGGGGCTGCCTGTGTGGCCCGGCCAGCCCGTCTTCCAGGGCCAGCCAGGGGGCCCTGGGCGCCGCCAGCCCCCCCCCACGCCCCCGGAAGGCCCGTCTCCGTGCCAGTTCCAGCCCCGGGACACGTGTGGCCGGGCAGTGAGGTTCTGGGATCTGTTCCCGGGGACATGGGGGCGGGACGCCCTGGCCTTTGACCAGCACCCACGACGTGTCAAGAAGGTGACACTAAAACGTTTTCAGTAAACCTGACAAAAGTGAGGTTCGTTCTTCAACAGAGAGGTTTCAAGGGAAGAAAAAGAAACCCACACATTAAACGGGACTTGGGTGAAGTGTCCCCCATCCCAAGGTGGGGGCCCTATCCAGACCTCGGTCAAAGGCGTCAACAAATTGAAAGGAAAAAAAAAATGCTTAAAAAACCAACAGGTGTTGTGAGCACCTTCCAGGTATCTGGCGACCCAAAGGAACTCTTGCTAATGTTCTAAGCAGGTGTGATACCAGTAGGATGTTTGGGGGCTGGGTTTCTTCAAAAGTTTTTATATTCCGGGGGACCCGGAGGAACCCACGCTGTGAACGCAGAGCGGCGCCAGCACTGCACACCCCCCCACCCCCGCCGCCGACTGTCTCGCCCGCCCGTCCCCACGGGCCCCAGGCCCGGCCACTACCGCCCGCCAGGCCGGTGCGGCCAGGACTGGGGAGCCAGGACACTGAGCCTGGGAGGGGCCGCTGGGGGGGGCCTGCCACTCAGGGCCGCCATGCCCCGCCCACAGACCCCCACGCCTGGGCAGTTCCCAGGGTGGGGGGAGTGCGTGCACCCCCTCACCAGTGCTGGCTCCTGGCAGCACCCCTGAGGCCCACCCTGGGGGCAGCGAGCCAGGCGCCCCAGGGCTGGGCACTGGCCCCTCCTGGCCCCGCCCCCTCAGCACCCACTCAGCTTCCGGTGGGGCACACAGGGTCTCCCTTGGTGTCCCGCAGTCACCGGGCCTTGGGCCGCTGACCCCTTCCCGGCCGGCCTGGTACCTGACGGAAGGGGGAGGGTGGCCCCGTCCAGCACCCACGAACCGAGAGGCACCCACAGCCACCCCCAACAGCCCGGAGCCCTGGGGCCCCCCCACCCCCGCCCCACCAGAGGCCCCGGGAGCCGTGCGCACAGGGGGCGGCACCTGTGGTCCTCAGAAGAAGTTCTTGATCAGTGGAGTCACCATCTTCACCCACAGCTGCACCCGCCGACCCGGCTGCTCGAAGGTGGCGGGGGACACCACGCCCGACCTCCGGTACAGCTGCTCCTGCTCCTGGGGGAGAGGAACCGGCGGGGTCAGGGGCCGCCCGGGACCCTCCCGGACGCCCCTGAGCAGAGCAGAGGAGCCCATGTTCTGGAACCTCTGAGCCCGAGCCGTGCAGCCGGCGGAACAGGGCTCAGAAGTCCACCCTCGCTGCCCGAGGTGCTGCCCTCAGGGCCGCTGTTCAACCGAGCTGGCCGAGCGCCCGCAGCACCATCCCCCGGGGCTGCCGGACGCACGGGTGCGCACAGGCCCACGCGGCGGTCTCAGGCGCTCCGGAGGCGCCACCCCCGAGGCCTCACCCCGAGGGAGGGCTGCACGGAACCCCGGGCTGAGGGCTCCCCATGGACCCCATCGCCGGAGCCCGCAGAGCCAGGAACGACCGGGAACCCCCGGGGCGGCCGGCGGCCACCGGAACACGACACGCCCAGGGGACGGCCCGGCACTCCCCACGGGTGGCCGCGTCCCAGAACACTCCCCCAGCGACGCGGGCAAGCGCCCGACACATTCAGCGACGAGACGCCGCCCGTGAAGTGACAGGCGCCCTGTAACCCCGACGTCGTGAACCCCACCCCAGGGTCTGCCTGTGCGCCCGCACCCAGGACGGAGACGCCACCCCGAGGCCCGCTCCGGGCACACAGCCCGCGTCGGCCGGTGCTTCCAACCCGAGGTTTACCCGGCAACTCGACAGCGAGCGAGGAAACTTTTCCCGGCCGCCTCGCGGACTGCGCTGTCGGCCGGTGGAGGCGGGGCCGTCTCAGAACCCACGGCCGGCGGGGGCTCAGGCCCCTCCTGGACCTCCGTGCCCCCCCCCCGGCTGTGAGCCGCCCGCACCGCACCCCACGGCGCAGACCCCGTGGCCCTGGCGAGGCAGACGCCCCGTCTGCCGCAGGACCAGCCGCGGCACCCGGAACACTTAGTGGCGCGTGCCCCGGGGCGGGAACGGAGGGCGTCCCTGACAGCTGCCCGGCCCCGGGAAGAACCTTACAGGACCGGCTCTCCTTCCGCCGCCCAGGCGGGGGCCCACGGCCGGGAAAGGGGCGCTCTCTGGCCCGGGTCTGCGCGGCCCCCAGCCTGGGCGCCCTCCCCTGCCCCGACGCAGGCCCTCGGGCCTGGCGGCTGCTGCGGAACCCACAGCCTGGTCGCCGTGCCGACACACGAGCCAGCTTCGGTCTCGGGGGGCTGGTGGGCGGAGGTCCCCGCGGACCGGCTCCGGCTTTAAGTTCTCGAACGAACACACAGCCAAGACTCCAGTTAAATTACCAGAAACACTTGAGTTTCCTCCCCGGGCCCACACGCGGAGGGAGGAGGAAGTGAGCTGAGTGAGGTCACACGCCGTCTGAGGGCGTCTTTCTGGGGTCACGGGTGGTGAGCCGGGTTCTCCGGACAAAACCAGGAAGCCTTCGGGGTCCACGGTGTGTGCCGGGCAGAGGGAGGAGCTCCGGGCTCCGGGCAAAACATCCCCGTTCCCAGTGCCCACCGTGACCCCCCGGGCCCTTCCCGCACCCCCGGCGGCGCTCCAGAGGCGGCTGTGGAGCCTGCCCCCCCAGGGGGTGGCGGGGTTCTAGGGACTTTCTGGGCGGCTGGGCAGTCCCAGGACCGGGCCCTGGACAGGCCTCCCGGGGGGCGGCCGCAGTCCCAGAAAGCTGGCACGTAGGTGGAAGCATCTAGAAGCGCACTTCTGCATTTCCGAGGCCCGGGGCCAGCGCGCCTGCCCTCAAGGAGCGGCAGAGCCGCGGTGGCAGGGCCTGCCGCCCCCCGCCGCCGCCGAAAGCCCCGGGGAGGCAGGTTTGGGAAGGAAGAGAAAACATCCCAGACACGTCGCTTGGGAAAGCGGCTCCTGACCACAACCGGCCAGCCTTTCTCAAGAGCCAGGATGTGGGTTCAGTCCCCTCGCTCGGGGAGTGGGGCGACGAGGCGGGCCCGGGGCCCGGGGCCCGGGCCGGGGGGCTGCTCCCTGCATGGGCCCCGGCCCGTGAGACCCGCCCGGCCCGAGGCCAGGCTCACACTGAGACTCGCGGTGGAGGCCCCTCCCCCCAGGCGTCTGCGGCAGCCCCCTCTGCACGGCGCGGGGGCACTCCGGCCCGCTGCCTCGGGGCGCTGCCGTGGGCCCGTCACGCCGGCCCGGCTCCGAGGCCAGCGTCCCCGGCTGGACCCTCGGGGCAGGGGCTTCCTCCCCGGTCATTTGCTGGAAGCCTCCCGGTGGCCAGGAAGCTGCCGAGCAGACCAGACTGTCCAGCTGGCCACCCGGAGCATGACCACTGCCACTTCCTCTCGCCCCTGGCCGGCAGCCCTTCCCGGCACCGCGGCCCCGCGCGCCCAGACGAGGTTCCCAGATCTCGGGGGGCAGATCCCGGGGAGGAACGGGGCCGTGACCGTCTCCCCCCTCCCGTCCACAGAGGCCCCGGCAATTTCGCAACGGTGACCCCCCAACGCTCGAGGGCACAGGCCGCACGCCACCACCGGCTGAGGCCTCGGGGGCCCCGAGACCCCGCCGCCCGGAGCCCCGCCTGGGCCCCCCCCACACACACACACACGGGAGCTGGGCCGCGCCCTCGAAGCCCGTCAGCCCCGGGCAGACACTCACATACGGCCCCCCACGAGCGCCAGTGGCTTCCTGGGACTCTGCCCTTGGAACGGATAAGTCTGACCGTCGTCCCTCAGGGGGGCGAGACCCTCTGGGGATGCCGCCTTTCTCCGGCCGCCCCCCTCCACGTGTGTCTCCCCTCATGGGGACACTGCCCCCGGCCACCCCTCAGCCCCCACCTCCCCTCTGGGAGGCTCTTTTCCAGGAACAACGGGGTGTCGGCTGGAGCTCTCTCACTGCTCCGCCCCACATCCCCCCACAGCAGCCCGCGGCCCTGGGAGAGGCTGGGGACCCCCGCCGTGCCCACACTGGGGACAGCACGGTCCCCCGCCCTGCCGAGGAGCAGCCCCAAGGGTGGCCCTGCAGGTTTCTCTGGCACCAGTGCCACCGGCACCTCGGGCCGCCACCCCGGACCACGAGGACGCCGGCAGGTCCGAGCACGCAGCCCCGCCCACCCACCCCGCGGCCCCCTGGCCACCGACCTGGTGAAGCTGCTGCTGCAGGGCCTGGCTCTCCGTCACGATGGCGATCTGGGCCTCCAGGTCCCGGTGCACTGACCTGTACCCAAAATTAGGAGAGCCAATCAGCGTGAGACAGGGCAGGCTGCTCCCTGCCAGGTACAGCCAGAGGCCTGCGGGGAAGAGGAGACGTGCAGAGAGCAGTGAGCGCCGTGCCGCCCGGGGGGCCGCTCCGCGCCGCGCTCCACCTGGGGGAGAAGCAGACCCCCCCCGTCCCGCCCCCTCCCTCAGCGCCCCCAGGCCTGCTTTCCCTGTGGGCCCCCGGGGCTCCCTGGGAGGGTCCTGCTCTTCGGGCCGCAGTGCACGCCCCCCACCCCCGCGCCGGCCATGGTGGGTCCCTGAGGGGAGCCAGTGGCACCGTGTCGGGGCCTCCCCCGGAGTCAGGGCCTCGCAGCCCTGCTCTCCCAGCGGCCCCCGCCAGGCCCGGGACCGGAGCTCCCTGAGCCCCCAGGGCTGGCGACAGAGGTGGGGGGAAGAACGGGGCGCCCTCCTCTGCTTCCGCCTGAAGGAAGACCGCGGGGCCCTGCGCTCCGGGGGACACACGACGCTCCCACCGTGGCCTCCCACCCTGCCGGGGGCCCGTGGGCAGAGCGCCCTCCTCCCCGACCGAGGACTAGCCCCCCAGGCTGGCGGGGCACTCGGCCGTGAGGCAGGGGGCCGGTTTGCCCCCAACCCTGGGAGCGGGGTCCAGTCCGACACGCCCACGGGGACGCCCTGTGACAGGGGCTCGGGCGCTCTCACAACCCACACGTCGCGGGGACCGGAGCACAGGCAGCCCCCGCTCCTGCTCCCTCTGCCCCTGGGGCCCCCGGGGCCGCTCCCAGGGACACTCTCTCCCCCGAGCCGCCCCAGGGCCCCCGCCGCCCCGGCGCCTCGGCAGGGCCCCCGCCCGCAGCAGCCCCCGCCCCCCGCACCCTCCCACCCCCGTGGGCCTCCCTGCCAGCGTGACCTTTGCAGAGGGCCCACGGCCACGAGCAATCAACACCAAGTAACGCACACCAGGCTCCCGAAATAGAAGGCCGTTTCCCAACTCTCACTCGGGGCAAGAGCACTTCCAAGAACGTCTTGGGCAAGAAGTGACGACGCTGGGCTGCCTCTTCCTGTAACGCACTTGACCCCCCGCAGGCGCCCTCGCGGAGGCCACGGCGCAGCCTCTTGCTCGCCTGCGCGAGGGCTCGGCCGCCCGCCCACCCGCCCCACCACCGAGCCCCCGTCGGGGCGGCCTGCCCGGCACAGGCCCCGGCACCCTGCTGCAGACGCCCGGGAGGCCCGAGCAAATCGCCACCCCCGTCCTCCGCGCCCACACCGGGCTCGCTCCCCCGCCCACCGCCCGCAAAGCCTGCAGCCGGGGGGACGGGCGACCGGGCTCCGGTGAAGAGAGGCACGAGCTCTGGCCACCTGCCATCACCGCCCCAGCTCTCCCGGGTCCGCTCAGTGCCACCGGTCGGCCAGCTCCCCAGGGCCACTCAGAGGGGGCGGGGGGGGGGACGCCTGACACCCACGTGGGTGACCGAGGTTACAGCTGACGTGGACCTCGCCGCCCCGTGTCCACCCCAGGCTCCTGGACCGCAGGGTCTGCAGGGCCTGGTCACACGGGCGCTCTTTACCTGTGGAACTCGCGGGAACCCGGACCGCTCCCCCCCGGGACAGCCTGGGGCTCGGCCGCCCCCCGGCAGGCCCCCCTGGGCACCTCCGCGTCCGCTTCTCCAGGTGCTCCCGTCACCGACCCCCCAAGAAGGTTTTTAAGACCCGCTCTCTCTGACCGCCACCCCCCAAAAACAACCTGATCGCCATGGACACAGTGTCCGCCCGTCTGCGCTTCACGTCCGTGAGTCCGCCGTCCTTCCAGAGCCACCAACCCCCCTCCCCTGCCCGCCCAAGGCCCTGGGAGAGCGACCCGCGAGGACCTCCGCCCCCGCTGCCTCCCCTCCCCACCCCCGCCCAGGCTGGACCTCGGCCAGGGACTCAGGGCCGCAGAGGGCACACGGGTCCTGCCCCAGCGACCCCGCCGGGGAGCCTGCCCCCACCACCTTCCCGGGCGTCCAGTTCCACGGCAACCGTCTTCCACCAGGAAAAGATAAAGACCGCCCCGACCGGTGTGGCTCAGCTGGCTGAGCGCGCCCTGCACGTCGGAAGGTCGCCGGTTCAATCCCCGGGCCCGGCACAGGCCTGGGCTGCGGGTTTGGTCCCGGTCGGGCGAGTGTGAGAGGCAGCCCACCCATCAATGTTTCTCTCTCACACCACTGATCTCTCCCTCCCTTCCCCTCTCCCTGAACATGAAAACAAACAAACAAACCAAAAAACAATAAACTCTTTAAAACAAGAAGATAAAGACCATGAACGGAGCAGCGGGCGGCCTCCCAGTGCCGGGAGCACGGTCCTCCCGGCCCGAGGCCCACCAACCCGGGGCCCCCAGCCCTCGCGCTGCACTGCACCCCGCCCGCGTCTGGGAAACGCCCCCTCGGGCGGGGAAGCAGGGGGCCCTTGGGAGCCGTCTCACCCCGCAGGTCAGGCGCACTGGGCCACAGGCTTGCTGCCCGGGAATGCGACACTTCCCAGCCGCCCGGGGCCTGCTCTCGGGCCCCAGCGCCTCAGCCCAGGCCTGGCCTCTGGGCCCAGCGTCTCCACCGGCCCGGGGACCGCCCACCCGCCCGGGGAGCGGCTCTGCGGCTGACACAGGCGCCTGCGGCAGGGGCCAGAGGCTGACAGGCCCCGACGACCTGCCGCACCCCCTTGAGGAAGGGGGACCCCTGCTTCTGCTCCACAGGCGCCCCCAGTGCAACCACACTAGGGAGGGGGCGGCAGGGGACCCGAGGGCTTCCCACAGTGCTTACCACCACGGTCCCAGCCCGCACCGCCCACCCCACCCCCCCGGCCACCTTCCAACACCGCTGCCCGCCACAGGGCCCCGTGCGGCCTCTCAGGCCCAGCCAGTCTCGGGCTGCGTGTTTCCGTCCCCCGGGGCCACCGGCTCGGAGAGGCCCTCCTCGACCCCCCACCTGAGGCCCCCACTGCCAGCAGGGACCCTTCCTCTGCCGGCCCCTTCGTGACCCCGCTCCCTGCCCTGCCACTGTGCCTGAGCCGGACCGCCCGCCGGCCCGCGGCCTGCCCCCGTTCCACCGGAGGCCTCTGGGGGGCAGCGTCGGTCTGCCCTGCGCCCAGGGCCTGGCCCCGGGGAGCCGCTGGTCTGCACAGCGAGGCCCGGCTGACAGCTGACGGTGAGAGGGCGCCCGAGCACGCAGGCAGGGGCCCCCAGGTGCCGGGGCCGAGGCCTCTGTGGGGGCCACACCCAGGAAACCCCAACTCCCCCTCCCCCCACACCACTCTGCAGTAAACCTCGGGGCTCTCAGCCCGCAGGAGCAGGAGAGGACAGAAGACACCACCGCCGCTCCTCGGGCGCCCGGCGCTGCCCGTCGGCTGCTGGCTCGGGCTCGGCCGCGCAGGCTCCGCCTCAGGCGAGCACACCTGCCAGCTCCCAGGCGGGATGCACCCCGCCAGGGCCAGGCAGGCGGGCGGCGCTGCCCGGCGGTCCTTCGAGTGCACTGTCCGCCCGCGCCCAGCAACCTGCCGGGAAGCAGGGCAGGAGTGACAGCCCCGCCCTCATTAACGGGCCCGTCAGCAAGAGCCAGAGCCCCCCAGCCCCCGCCGGCCCCACCCGGCCCCACGCAGACCCGGGACCAGACCTGGGACCAGACCCGGGACGCCGCGCCCGCCCGGTGAATCAAAGTTCCTTCCGATCCTTTCCCTGAAGTGCACGCCCTCGGCAAAGCCCCGCCCCCTCCCCCACCAGGCGTGGCGGGGGGTGCCCACTGCTTGCCCCTCCCGCTCAGGACAAGGGGTACGGGGAAAACCTCTGCGCCTTCCCCCCAATTCACCTGGGAACCCGAAACTGCTCTAAAGAAAATGAAGTCTTCTAATAAATAGATAAAACAAACAGAAAAGCAGAAACTTTGTTACAAAAAACAGCTTGTCCGGTGAGGTTCCGTGTGCACGGCGTGGTGCCCGGCCACGGATGCCCGCACGGCAACCCAGGCGGACGGGAAGCAGCACGGACCCCCGGCGCCCACCGGCGACCCCCGAAGCGCCTCCCAGTCCTGCCCCTCCAGGACTCCAAGTTCAATGGCCTCTCCACTGACTCCCGTCCACACGGGTCTCCTCAGTGTTCTCAACGGGCGGCCTCCGCGCACACGCAACCCAATGAAACAGGCGAACCGTGTCGCAAGGCAGGTCTCCGGCACACGGGGGGCAGACACCGGGCCCTCGGGCCCGGCCCGGCACCTCGTTCCTGCCGGCGGCAGCGCCCGGCTCCTCGCCCCTCGCCAGGGAACAGTTACATGTGCACAGCCCTGAAACCACACTCGGTCCTGGGAAGGCGCCCACGAGACCGATGTGGCCCCAGTGACAGCGAGGGCGACACCCCTGCTCCAGCGGGAGGCCCCTCCGGCTCGCCGCGGCGGCCCGATCCAGTCCAGGCACGCGGGTCTGAGCCTGCTGAGAGCCCGGCCGGCCAGCCGGCCAGCGGCACACACCCTCGCCCAGCAGTGCGGCACTGCCAACGGTCCGTGCCACGGAAAACACCTCGGGGCACACCTTCGCCTGTGCAGGCCACCCGCTGGACCGTGGTCTGACACCTGCTGCCCGGGGCAGCCACTCCCCATGGCGAGGCCATCTGTCCCCATCCAGCCGGCTGGCCGACCTCCCGTGGGCAGGGACCAAGCAGGGCTTTCCTGCAGCACCAGGCCCTCGGGGCCACCAGCAGGTGCAACGATGCCCAGGGAGCCCACGGCGCCCAGGGGTGCGCGATGCCCGGACCGAGAGGCCGAGAGCAGGGGGCCCCACTCCCCCTGTTCTGCTCCTCCAGGGGCTCCCGGGAGCAGGAGGACCCGGGAGCGGCCCTGGCCTGTCCTCAGGCACATGGCGAGGGGGACGGAGGTAATGGCCCCCCAGCCTCGGGCAGGAGTTCCCCAGGGTCCAGACGCAGGCACACCCAGACAGACGCACCACCGGTCCCGAGCCCGGCCCCCCCGAAGAGGGCGGCCAGGGAATGGCCCTCTGCCCCGACCACCGAAACCTGCGCGGCCAACGGTCTGCCTGTAGCTCAGGGGCGCGGGCTGCACCCCCCCCCGAGGCTGCGCTGGGGAACGCGCCCATCAAAGGCAGAGCCAGAAGACCGGGCTGGCTGAGGACCCCCACTGTCAGTCACAGCCACTGGGCAGGGAGGGCCCCGCCTCTCACCGCAGCCCCCAGGGACCACTGGCTGGCACCCGGCTCTTTCTCCAAGCACCCTCCCCCATTCGTTCTTTCCCTCTCCGCCCCGCCCCCTCCGGCACAGGCAGGAGCATGCCCCGGGATTCCTGGCCTTCCCCAGTGATCCCCGGCTGGCTCCCTCCCTCCCGGCTGCAGGGCCCCACCCCCGGGAGGGCAGGGCGGGGGAGGGAGCCGCGGGAGTCGCCAGTCCGGGAAAAGGCGAGACGCACTGGAAAAGCCGGTTGAGTGTTTCTGTTTCAACGGTAACTGGGAGTCACCGCCGAGGCGGCTTCAGGGAAACGGCCCACGGCAGTCGGGGCCGAGGGGCCGGGCCGACCTGGGGCCCCAGCGGCAGCAGCCCCACACGGAGGGAGCCCCGGGGCAGACACGCGAGCACTGTGCACCCCCCAGGTGCACTCGGATACACACACACGCGCACACACACGCACACACGGCTCTGGAGGTCGGAGCCGCTCCAGCTGCCCAGCCCGGTCTCCAGGGCCCCGCCCTTCAGCAGGGCTGCTGTGCACACGAGTCACAAAGCCACCCCTGAAATGCTCTCCACGCGCCCCTCCACTGGCCGGCCGGCCTGCCTGCTGGGACATCTGACCTGGGGCCTGGCCCAGCCGGCGCCAAGGGCTGGGGTCAGTCCTGCAGGGCAGCTCCCTGCCCATGCCCGCCTGAGCAGGCCCACGGGCCCCACACAGGAAGTGCAAGCCGCCCAAGAGGCACCACGACCTCCTGGGGAGGGGCTCCAAGACACCCCCAAAGCTAACACCACAGACAAGGGGCCGCGGCAGCCTGCAGCCAGGATCCCAACCTGGGACAGAGACAGTGACCACGCCTCCCTCCTTCCCGCTCGGCAGTTCCCGAGGCTCTGGAGCCCCCACAGGAGCCCAGCAGGCCCCTGACCCCCGTGGAGAAGCGAGGAGAGCCGAGTGCTCCACCTGAGGCTCCGCCCCTGCTCCGCCTGAGGCTCCGCCCCTGCACCGCCCCACCCCTCCCCCCAGGACTCAGGACCACCAGGCGGGGTTGTGAGGGTCCCTGAGCGCGATCCCTCTGCAGGTCAGGGGTCCAGCCCCACCCCCCACATCCTCCGTCACGCCCCTGGGACGCGCCGCCCGAGCGGAGTCCTCTCCAACGGCGGCCCAGACGCCGGCCGTTCTGCGGCAGCAGCGTCCACAGGCACAGCCCCGACCTTCTCGGCTGTAAACAAAGGGCGATGGCGTGGGCGGTTCGGTGCCCAACACAAGAACCCTGCCCGCCCTGTCCCGAAGGAGGGCATGGCAGGCACGGGAGGACGCCCACGCCCGAGGAGAGCCGCGGCCCGCGCCCGGCCGTCTGCCGTGGAGAGGGAACAGGTGAAGCGCGTTTTACAGCTGCCGCCCGAGCAACTCCAGCCGTGAACTCCCGGTGCACGAGCGTGAGACGCGACCTAAGGGACAGGCGCCGAGCAGGACGGGTGGGCCGCGCCCGGCCCCCGGCCCCCGGCCGCCCCGGTACCTTTGGCGTGGAAGGTCCAGCCCCGCCGCCGGTACTCCTGCAGCCGCACGCGCTCCTGCTGCCCGCGGGTGCACACGGCCCGGAAGAACTGCCGTTCGATGTGCACGTAGGCCGCGGGGATGGCGCCCGCCACGCCCTTGGCCCCGAAGAAGCCGTTCACCTCCGGGGAGGCCAGCAGGATCTGGTACTCGGCCCGCGTGCCCAGGACCAGGTCCATGTAGGCCTGCGTCAGGTTGAAGTAGCCGGTGGTGAGGAAGACCCTGGCGCCCCGCTCGGCCTCCGTCAGCAGCGTCTCGGTGACGGCCTCGTCGATGCGGATCTCGAAGGGCTTCATCTGGATCAGCGGGTAGATCCAGGTGTCGGGCGCGGGCCTGCGGTCCCCCGCGGCCGCGGCGTCCTCTCGCAGCACCAGGGCGTCGCCGTGGAAGGTCTGCGCGTGCAGCCTCTGCTGGCGGGTCCGCGCCGCCTCGATCACACCCATGACCCTGGCGTTCGCCGCCTTGCAGTACGCCGCCCGGTCGCCTGGGGAGGCACAGGGAGGAGGAGTGAGGGGGCGGACGCAGCCGCACTCCCGCCCAGCCCTCAACAGCCAGTCAGCACCGAACGCATTTCCGCCGCGCACCTGGCCGCGCAGGCGAGGACCAGCAAAGGGCCTCGCCACCGGGAGCCTGCCCCCGGGCACGGGGAAAGGCCGCAACCCGCTCCGCACGTGAAAACTTCGGCACGGGCCTCCGCGGGGGCAGGCACCCTGGGGACGACGCCTGGGGGCATTGGAGGGGCTTCAGGGACCTGACCCCCGTGCGCGCGCGCACAAGCCCCATGCCTGGGACCTTCCACAACAGAGACCCATGTGAGCACGAGCACGTGCAGCGGGACCGGGGCCCGGCTGGGCCGTGGCGCGCCGAGGGGCTCCGAGGGCCTGCGTACTTAGGGACCCCGGCCCGGGGCCGCACCGTCCAGACCGGACAACCAGACACGCTGAGCGGCAAGGCACAGCTGTGGGTGCTGCTGCCGGGCAAGGAAAGACGGAAGGCGAGCGTCAACTGAAGACACTGGGGGCGGGGCAACGCTGGGGGCGGGGCAACGGCAGGAGACGGAACCACAGCGTGAGCAAGGATGTGGCGCCAGGGAGAATGGAGGCGGGACAGCGATGCCGCGAAAGCAGGCTCTCTGGGAGGCCAATGGGGAACCGGACAAGCCCTGCGCATGGCGGACTGAGAAGGCAGAGAGCCAGGGCGGCGCCCAGGGCATCTGCGCTCAGCCCTGGCCCGGGCTGGGGGGCGGGGGCGGCAGTCAGCGCACAGCCCTCTCCTCGCCGACGCCGCACCGTCCCGGGAGCCCCTCCTGCGCCGTGGGGCTGAGGGCCCTGCCCCAGCGTCTGCCCCTCCAGCGCTGCCCAGGCAGCTCCCCCCCCCCTCCCCGCACGGCCGACCCCCCTCCCCCGAGCGCAGGGACCGGTCCTAAGCACACTCGCGCCTGGCCTGCGGGGTCGGACGGGGGTCAGCCAATGCTTTCCCGGTAGGACACAGAGCAAGAGTTTCGGGCTCCGAGAGCCAAAGGGCAAAGTGGAGGCTAATACGGAGAATGCTAGTTTACACGAGAGGGAAAACAGGTTTCCGTGAATCTTGTGAGGACAAAATTAAAAAGCGAGGTCGAAGCCCACTGTCCCAGCCGGCGGCAGACCGGGCAGGCACCCGCTGGCTCAGGTGGCCCCGCGGCCCCTGGCCCCAGGCACCACACTCTGGACGCTGCCACTCCAGGTGGGGCCGGGCCAACCCCTCCCCGCACTGCTGATGCAGCAGAGCCAGCAGCAGCCCTCGGAGGCCGCGGGAAGTGGCCACCACAGGAATCACAGGAACGCAGTTGCCCCCGGGAACCTCGCTGCCAGGATGGGCCAGGGCCGGGCTGAGGGCCCTCTGGGTCACTGTCCAGGCGGGAGGCCACAGGGCCTCCACGGGGCCGAGCAGGAAGCTGGCCTGGGGGCGGGGGGCAGACACTGCACCGCAGCTCCCCTGCTCGCCCCCCTCCCCCGGCTCAGCCCCGAAGCCCACGCTCCCACCCGGCTCCCTCCCCACAGAGCATGACCGACGGCCAGTGAGTCATCTGTCTGGCTCCTGCGACAAAAGCAGAACCGGGCCCTGCCACCCCAGACTCCCCGCCTGTGGCCAGGCCACCAGAGACGTGTTCTCCCCGGCCCTCCCACCCCCCCACCCCAGGCTCAGGGGGCGGCCCGGCCCGGGCCCTACCTTTGTAAGGGTGCACCATGCCCTCCACCACCTGCACCGTGTCGTCCGCCTGCAGCTGCAGGGACACGTCCCCCACGGCCTCCACCAGCTCTGCGAAGAAGTCCGCGACCTCGGGGCAGTCCCGCAGGAACACGTAGCGGTCCTGGCGGTTGGTGAAGTAGGAGTCGCTCAGGTTGGCGCTGCGAGGGGGACAAGCAGGCGAGGACTCAGGCCGGGGCGGCGGCAGGCCCGGGGGCGGGTCTCCGGTGAGCCACAGGGGCAGGAATGCTGGCTCCGGTCAGGACACGGGGGCTGCGGTGGCCACCTGTGGGCTACCGAGCACGACCACTCACGAGAGACAGGCAAGAGTGGCACTGAGGTGACTCTGGGCAGGGGCCGGTGGAGCCCCTCCCTTGCAGAGCCACCGGGCGGCTGAGCGAAGAACTGTGGCTGGTCACCGGCACAGTGACAGTGCCCGTGCCGGACACTCAGCAGGACCTGGGTCCCCTCCTGGCTCTGCCTTTCCATTCTTGCGTGTTGGTGGCTCTGCCTGACCAAGTCACCCTCCTCTCGGACGTCTGGTCTCTCGTGTCTGAAGCGAGGAACCCACCACCCAGGGTCACTGAGAAGTTACAGGGGACGCCCACCCAAGGGGCCCGGCACAGCACAGGAAGCGCGCAGCAAGCCCCGCCCCCTCCAGCTCCACCACGAAGCGGGTGTGGCAGGACTCTCTTTACAGACCTGTTTTCCTTCCACCCCCACCCGCCTTGGCGGCCACCAGCTCAGGCTCCGTGTCTGCGGGCCAGTTTCTGTTTTGTTTTGTCCACGAGTTTGGGTTTTTTTAGGCTCCGCGTATCGGTGATATCAGCTCTCTCCGTCTGACTGACTCCACGTGGCGTGAAACCCGCTGCTGTCAAAGCGGCGAGGCTTCGTTCTCTTTACCGCTGAGCGGGGCTCCGCTGCGCATGCACACCTGCTCTGCCCCGCCCCCGTCCGCGCGGAGCAGACTCGGAGCTGCTCTCCGACCCCGCGGCCCTGGGGTCTCCCACCCGGGCTCCGAGGGCTTCCCCCACCCAGGCAGCCGCGGTGCCCGGGGGCGCCCGCAGCAGCAGCAGTGAGGCTAAAACCACGAGGGCGGGTTCTCGACGGCTCACGGAGACAGACGGGTCTCCCTCCCCGGGAACCACGGCGGGGAGGCCAGGACGAAGGGGGACGGAGCTCACCCGCTCAGGATGACGCTGCTGTCGAAGAGGTACACCTTAATGTGCTGCAGGCCGATGGTCTCGTTGAAGCGCTCGGGGACCAGCAGCCGCAGGAGGCCGCGGAGGCTCGGCGTGTGGAAGAGGGAGACTCGGACCTGCTCCGGGAACCGCTGCAGGAGCGGCAGCAGCATCGTGCGCGAGTTCTTCCGGCCTGAGCACGCGGGCGAGCGGAGGAAGAGGGAAGGGCGACTCACACCAGGAGAAGCGGCGGCGACAGTGTGGGGCCCCGTTCACCGTGCACCCGTCAGGACCGGTCAGCCAGAGGGGCTCCGGGCCCACCTCTGGTCCGGGCACCCGCACGTCTCAGGGCAGGGCCGCTGTGGTCAGCACCCTTTCATCCCCTCCCGGTCACGGTGCCCAACCTCCTCCTGGAGCCTCCCCACCCCCACTGCTGGCACCTCTGCTCTGGGCGCAGACGACTCTGACCGCCCTGAGCCCGCACCCCCGGCCCCGCAGGGGGAGAGCACAGGGCCTGGCCGCACAACGGGAGCCCCTGCTGCGGCCACACGGGGCTCTGGTCTGACCACCAGGGCGGCAGACTCTTCCAGGGGCCGAGAGGCCGTGCTCAGTGGGGCCTGGCCGTCAGAGGCCACGACCCAGAGGAGGAAGCCACTCCAAGGCCCGGGGCCAGGAGAACGGTCCTGGTGCCGTGTCCAAGCCCAGGTCACGACCTGCCCGAAGCGGGCCAGTCTCGAGAGCCCCAAAACCTCTCTTCCAGCCCAAGCTGTTCTCTGCCGGGCGACAGCCCGTGCCCCAGGAGGACTCCTGACTCGGACAATCAGACGGTCCTGGGCTAGCCGGACAGGCCTCCCACGGCCTCGCCCTGTGCCAGGGTGGGGGTGGGGGGCGCTCACGCTGCCCGAGACAGAGGCTCTGGGACCAGGAGAACCGGGAGAAAGCGCGGGGAGGCGTCAGACTCACCTCTAGAGCCCCGTGTGAAGTCCAGGAGCACGGACACCCGGAGGTCCGAGGGGGACTCGGCTCGCAGCGACCTCTCCAGGGCGATCTCCAGGCAGTCCACCTACCGAGGGGCGGGCCCGAGGGGCGGGGCGTGAGATCGCACGACGGCCACCCCTCCCGGTCGGCCGACCCCCCACTGCCCTCTCTGAACACACACCCGTCCGTGCGCAGAGGCCCACGCCTTCACCTGAGGCCGCCGTGGGAATGGTCACTCGAGGACCCACCCGACACCCCTCCAGCCAGGGCCTTGCAGGAGACGGGGCCGGCATGGACACCCCTGTCCTGAAGGTGCTCTCTGCCCACTGGCTGCCAAGCAGCCAAGAGTGTCAGGGAACAGGGAGAGGCCCCCCCCGCTCAGAGAGGAAGGGGGGGCACGTCCGCTCACCTGCCCTCCCCGGCACCCCCTGCCCTGCCCCGTTGCTGCCCAGCTCCCACCCGCGGCATTCTGGGCCAGAACGGCACTCCCCATGGGCAGGGGTCCCATCGCCCAGCCTCGGATCAGCAAGACCCCGGTGGGGCACGGACACAGCCCGCTGACCGCGTCCACTCTCCCGCCGCTCAGCCCCTGGGTCACCCTCGCGCCGGCACCTGCGCCGGAACCGGGCTGCGAGAAGCACGGCCTCTGCCACCCTTCCCACCCCCACCGGTCCTGGTGCCGGTGACACGCGTGGCCTGCCAGCCAGTGCAGGCAGAACAGGGTCGGCTGCAGCCCTGGCCCCGGACGCCGCCCCGCCGGCACTCGTGTGGCGACGTTCCAATAAAGTTTTATTCATAGACACCCAAACTGGCATTTCATGTGCTTTCCACGAGGCACAGACACTACGCTGCTTCTGATTTTTAACTCGATCGTTTGAAAACGTACAAACCAGTTTTAGCTCGAAGGCCAGATCTGGGGGGCCCTGGACGGCAGGCAGAGCGGCTGGGGCCCCCAGTGCTGGGGGGAAGGGGGTGCAGGCCCACAAAGGTGGGACCCCCACACCTTCCTTGCTATCTTCCCGACACGCCCAGTCTCGGGGGCAACGAGAGCACAAGCGGGCCCCGGGGCGGGCAAGGAAGGGCTGCCGGACGCCGCTCCACCAGCGGCACGCGGCCTGCGGGCCCCTCGCTGCTCCCACCAGGACCACCCGCCCCCAGGCCTTACCAGCTCCTGCTCCAAAGGGCCTGTGCCCAGGTAGAGGGACGCCATCACCACCCGTCTCCTGGCCGCTTTGATCTGCCCCTGCAAGAGAAGAAAGCGCCGGGAACTCAGAGCCACCATTTCACAGTCCGCTGAGCAGCGCGGTCCCCTGGCCTCACAGGCCGACACACCCCGCGCTGAGCTGTTCCGTGGTGTCTGCGCCCGTTAACACTCCCAGCGGGGAGTCCGGCCCACGGCCCAGGGCGGCTGCGAATGTGGCCCAACACAAAATCACAAGTTCACTTAAAACACTACGAGGTACGTTCGTGACCCCGTGTCTCGACGTATTTAACATGTGGCCCAAGACGACTCTTGTTCTTCCAGGGCGGCCCGGAGACGCCAAGAGGTCGGACGCCCCTGGTTGAAAGCAAGCCCCGAAGGTGTCTGTGCGGTAGCCCACCACACCAGCGCCCGCGGTCCTCCGGGAAACGCTCTGCCCAAGAGCACGGCGTGATCTGCGCGCCAGCCGTCTCAGCAGGGAGGTGCCGGGCGGTGCGCCCCCTCTCCCGCCCCCCTTCCTGTGGGCTCCACTTCAACACAGGGCGCAGGGCACTCGGTGCACAAGGCCCGGACCCAGAGCTGCCCTGCACCCCCACTCGGCCGTTCCGTCGCTGAGGACCACCTGGCCGAGCCCACGGGGGTCCGCTGGGCGCCCACCGAGACTTCCGGAGCAGCAGAAGGCGCTTCCGCCCGGGACCCGCCCAGCCGCACGCCCGTCGCCCTGCCCCCCAGGCGCGGCTTACCTTCATGAGCTCGAAGAACTCGGCGGGGGAGGAGAGCACCCGCACGTGGGAGCTGGAGACCCCGAACTCCGGCACCAGGTTCCGGATCCACTGGAACCTGTGCACGCCCTCGGGGCACAGGCAGCAAGGCGGGGGGCCGGCCTGGGGGACGGCCGGGGACAGCAGAGGGGCCAACAGCAGCCATGGCGACCTGGGTCCGGAGACACACGCAGGGGGTCACCGCACTGCTCAAGTGCTTCCACAGACGCCTCTCTCAACAGTTTGCGGGGGGCGGGGGGTGGTTTGTTTTTTACCAATTTCAGATTTCCTAGACCACGTGAAGTGAGTCCAACTCAAACTCCACATGGAGGTTTTCCCTTCAGTCCCACTGGCTGAGCCCCCGCAGAAGTGCCGGAGCCTGCGGGTGCGCCCCAAGCGCCCCAAACACCAGGTTGATTCCAGTAGCCACCGGCGAGCCCCCAGATGCCACTGCTTGGCTACCACGGCCCCGACACCCGGCCGGCGGCAGCCCTGGAGGGCCACCGAACACGAGGACACGTCTACCGTGAGAGGCCCAGAAAAATAAAGTTTCCTCGTACACTGGATTAACTAATTAAATATCTGACCCCCAAAATAAAATGTTCCCAGGGGTACAACAATTTTTGTCTTCACTCCTAGGATATGGAGTGAAAAGCTGCAGCAGGGAGAGGCCACCTTGAGAGGCGACAGCAGTGACCACACTGCCCCTTCCCCATGGACACACCTTCCTCTGGGCCGTGCGCCCTCGGGGCGGCCCTGGGCCAGCACCTGCAGCCGCGGACCTCCCCCAGGCCCAGGGCGGGGACCCCTTCCGGGACTGGGGCAGGGGCAGGGTCCGGCAAGCCTGCAGCACAAACCCGGCCCACCCCAAATTCCCGAAAATGCAGCAGGAAACCCCTCCTGGGGGTGTGGCCTTCCAGCTCGGCCTCCAGGGGGCCCTGGGCAAAGGGCGCTCGAGCCCCCCGGGGGCCGTGGAGCCACAGATTCCAGGAAGATGACGTCATCGCTCGCCGTGTCCAAGCCCGAACCTTCCCAGGGCCGCACGGGCCCCGCACACCGCTTCCCAGGAAGCCCACCGGCGTGTCGCCGCCGACTCAGAGCCGAGGAAACTGGTCAGCCTGGAAGGTGCCGGCGCCCTGGGTCCTGGGAAGCCTCGGGGGGCAGAGGGGGGCGGGCAGCGCCCCCCGCCCCCGCCCGCGGTCTCTGCAGTGGCGGTGACCGCACCCGAGTGTGCAGTGGCCTTCCCGGCTCCGAAGGGATGAGCACCGGCCACACAGGACGGCCCCAGACACCGAACCGGGCACGGCCCCTCGGGCTCCCCAACTGCGGGCCGTCCCCCGCTGAGCTCAGGCCGCGTGCGTCCCGGGGGAGCGGGGCCCTTCCCGGCCGAGGGGAAACCGGAGACTCGGGAAGGCCACACGCCGGCCCGACGGTCCGTCTGGGGTTCCAGGTGGGGCCTCGGGTCTCCGAGTCACCGACCACACGCGGCCTGTCCGCGGGGAAACCCCACGGTAGCGTGAGAGCGACCTCTCTCCCGGCCCGGCAACCCTCCCCAGCGCGGCGCTCGGACCCTAAGGAGGGGGCCCGCAGGCAGTCCCCACGCCCTCCCCCCGGGGCGAGGAGACGCGGCGGCTCCCAGAAGGCAGGACGAGGAAGCACCTCCCTGGCACGCAACCCCGGAGAGGGCAGGTGCCAGCGTGGGCCTCCGTCCAAGCCGCCGCACGCACGCGCCTGGGACGCGCCACGCAGGGCCGGGAAGGAGGGCCAGGCGGGGGCCCCGCCTCCCACAGCCCCGGCGGCGGCTCGCACACCTGCAGTTACGGGGGGACGACACAGCCGGCGCTAAAATTAACTAACCGGGGTCCGAACGCTGACACACGGCCCGTGTGCTTCAGTGACACTGCCCGGGCCACCGGGGCAGCTCCGGGACGCCCGGCACAGCGGGCCACCCGGGGGGGCAGGCGGGGACAGGCCACGGCCGCCATCGCCAGAACAGCCGACAGCCTGCACAGGCGTCAGCCCACGCCCCCCCACCCCACCCCCTACCCCCCGGTCCTGCGGGCAGAGAGGCGCTCCGGTGGGCCCAGGCACCCCCAGGGCCTCCGTGGGCCGGTCCCGCCCCCGCCCCCGCCCCCGCCAGGCGGCTCTCCCCGGGACGCTCCCCCGGGGGCTCGGCCTGAGATCTGCTGAGGCCTCTTCTGGGGGCTCCCTGCTCCATCTGCGGGCTGACGGGTCTGCTTTCGCTCGAGGGGAGCAGCCGAGAAACGCCTCGGGGGGCGTCCAGGCTACCGTCAGCTGGCTGCCCCCACAGGGGCGCCTGCGGCCCGCCCCACCCGAGCAGCCGCCTCAGGCTTCTCTGGAGCCTGCTCGGGGCCCGTCCGTTTTCTCCTCCCTCCCCCAGAGCCCCCTGGGGGTTAGTCCCCTCTTCCCACCGTGGGGCTCCCGGGGGTTCTCCCAGAAGAGGGTTCCCTGCTGCGGGCAACAGCCTGCCGCGCAGGTGCCCTGGGCCCAGGCTGGGCGTCAGCCCCGGGACGCCCCCCTCGGGTCCCGGGTCAGAAAGCTGCCGCCCCCCAGGGGGTCTGGGGCGGCCGGCAGCCGGGCCCACTCACGCTTCGGGGACTGGGCAGCTCAGGCGCACTCGCGCACCCTGCACCGAGACCTGGGCTCGCGTCCCCGCTCCTCGACGCTGCCCAGCTCCCACTTCTAGCCACAGGGCGGGGGCAGCGCGGGGGCTGAGGACTGCAGTGCGCCCCCCCGCACACTCTGGCACAGTGGGGGCGGTTAGAGAACAGCGCTCGGGCAGAGCAGGGGCGCCAGGCACTCAGCCCCCGAACGAACAGTGCAAACCACCCCCAGCCTGTGGTTCTAAAAGCAAAACGCGACAGGCAGCCCCGCTGAAGGGCGGGCCCAGCACCCACGGGGCGCCTGAGTCTGTGGGTGCAGCGCACGGTTCGAGGCTTCCCCCGGAATCTGCAGAGGGGCTGGGCCTGAGCACCGAGGACTCCGGACCTGGAGCCCCACTCCTCCACCCAGACAGGGGCCCGGGGGGGTGGGATGGAAGGTGGGCGCCGGAGGAGACCCTCAAGCGTGGCGGGAGGGGGCGTGGGGGCGAGGGCAGCCGCTCCCCTCCGTGTCCAGGAGGAGCCCAGTCCGAACAGCCCTGACTAAGCACAGTGTGCCCCGACGCCCCTGTGCCCGAGACCCCGGACCAGGGGCCGCCGGCAAGCCAAGACGGTGGGAGCCTTCCCGGCCCCAGACAGGACAGCGCAGCCCGGCCCCTCGTGGGAGGGACATGGGACATGAGTTCAGGACCAGCAGCCGGAGCAGAGCGGCTGCCGAGACCCCGCGGACACGCCGTCCCCCTCACAGGGCGCCTCAGGGAGCAGAGGCCGCACCCACGGGAAAATGCGGCCATGCCTTTCACCTTCCCTGCGTCCCCCTGTCCCCCTGTCCCCCAGGCTCAGTGCAGGCCCTGGCACGCAGGCGTGCCGGCCAGCGACCCAGGGCTTTTCCCAAACAGGGCACGCGGGGCTCTGAAGGGAGGACCCGGCGATGCCTCGGACGCCAGCCCCACCTCCACGCCGGCGGTGGGGGGCGTCGAGTCTCCGGGCCCCACACGAGGGCTACCAGGTGTCCGAGGCTGCAGGCTCGGAGCCCCGGCCCGGAGCCCCACGAGGCCCCGGGGACTCAGAGATGAGGTTCGTGGTGCAGACCCTGCGGCTTGGGTCCCCTCCGAAAGACGGAAGTCTTAAAAGAAACTGAGCGCTCTGGACTGCTGTATTTTCAGAAACGACTGTTTTCAGAAAAACCCACCCTTCCCCTTCCCTCATACACGTTTACATGTGTTAAAAAAAAAAAAAGTGAACTAGTGAGAAAAGAGCAACAGTCATAACATTTCCTGAGAAAGGCTCGGGCAACGACCCACGGCCGCGCACTTCCTGCAGCCCGGCCGGCGGCCCTGCCTGCCCTGCCTCTCGCAAGGCCGGACCGCCGGGGAGGTGGGCGGGTTCCCGGACTCCCGAGGGCCGCAACCCACCCCGGCCCGCCAGGGGCCACGCTCAGGCCGCTGACTCCGCTCCTGACGCGCCCCCAAAAGAAAGCCGATTGTCACATCAGGGCGCCAGAAATCCAGCGCACGACCCACACCGCCCCGCGGGCTGGGCTGGCCGAACGCACGAGGCCCACCTGACCGCCGGCCGGGAGTCCTGCGCTAGGAGTGCAAGCCGCCTCCGCCAGCCCGACTTGCCGGCAGGCAGCCTCGAACTCGGCCCCTTCACGTGCATCAGGGCCAGTGTTTACCGGGGGGTTATCCCTCCCAACCCTGCGGCCCCGGGCTGCCTCCGGCCCGTCCACACAGCCGCTGACCAGGCCTGACTCACCGCCAGCACCAGTGTGCTCGGGGCGGACACGGGCCAGCACAAGCCCAACACGGCTGCAGCCCACAAGCCGGCCCCCTGCACCCCGCACCCCCATTCCCGGCAAGGCCGGGTCCGAAAACGTGGATTGGGGGAAACCGTGCCGCAACTCCAAGTCTCCCCCTCCCACCTGTTCCAGGGCTATAAATAGACCGAGAGGTGACCCCACCGCACTGGGATGAGTCAGGAGGGCTGGGTCCCGGCACCGCCAAGTTCAAAGAGCCAGTCATTTCTGGAAACCCGGTGGTCCCTCGGGGCAGAGACTGCTACCCAGTTGAACAAGCGCGCGCTGATGCCGTCACGGTGCAAGAAACTCTGACTGAAAGGAGAATCTGCAAGTGACGCTTCCCCTCCCAACTCGGGGAAGCCAGCCCCCCGCCACACGCCTAGAACGAGGAAAACAAGACCTGAGTTTCAAAAACAAAGACTTTTCTGCACATGTAGCTCAAATTGAAAATGGGTGTTTTTTTCTGTTTTTTTGTTGTTGTTGTTGTTGTTGTTGTTTTAAAGGAGACCACAGAAAAACTACTTCCTTGTGTGGCAGGGGAGCTCAAGGTGAGGAGCCAATGCCCTCCCGACGCCCTGACCTCCCGGCGGGTCTCCTCTGCTCCTCGGCTCCAGAGAGTCGACACTGCCGATCTGACAACCGTGGGAAGCTCCTGTCTCCTCGCCCCAACTCCCCACCCCCCACTCCAGACCCCTGCAGTCAGCTCGGCACTGGGCGCTCTGCCTGGACCCTAAGCGTGCCCCTGACTCTCCCTGGCAGCAGCCCCCAACCTGGCCCTTCCTCACTCCCCCGTCTGACCGAACCCCAGGGCCGCCCCCGAGGCACCCCCCCTCCGCACTCGGCCAGGGCTGACCCTCCCACGGCCCTCTCCTCTCCTCCCACCGCCGTGGCTTCCCACCAGCCCCGCCCTCCTCGGCCCAGACCGCGGACAGGAGAAACTACACAGCATCTCAGAGCTTGCCTCCCAGGAGGACTGGCTTACGCCCAGCTCCTCTCTCCCTCCCCTCCCCTCCCCACTCAGCACCCCCAGCAGCCCCTGGAAATGGGGAGGGGAGAACCTGTGGAAGCTCAGGACGGCGGTCTGCTGCTGCTGTGACCATCAGCTCGTGTCACTCACTGTCCTTCCAGACACTCGGTCCCCCCAGCATCCCCCTCCATCCCCCATCCTCCACCGCGCCCATGCCCACTCCTGCTCTCTGAAACACGGCTCGGAGCTCGCCAGCACCGGGAGGCCTCCCGTGACTCCCAGGTGCGCCTCTCGGGCACCCCCGTGCCTGTCCCTGCCTCGCTGGACTGTTGCTGCTGCTATGGGGCTGAGCACCTGAGGTCTCATTGCTGCTTCTCAGGTGCCCGGCGCGGCCCGCGGGGCTCCAGGCACCTGCTGAAGGGGCGGGCCCAGCAGCCCATGGGGGAGAGTCAGAGGCCTGTTTCAGGGACAACTGCAGGGTTTCTGGGTCAGTGATTAGCAGACACGGCAAGGGGAGCTCTCCGTCGCCACGGCTGCCTGTCACTGCAAGGAAACCGCGGCAGCGAAGGGCAGTGAAGGCACCGCCCCCTCTCCCTGCCGTCCTGCCGGCCCCGAGGGTTCGCCGGGCGCTCCGACAGCTGAGTCAGACTGACAGGCTGAAATCTAAAATAACTTCAGTTCACGGCTACACAGAACCCTTGTCAATGAATCAGTGATCAGAGTTACAAGAAACCGCATCATTCGGGGAATGAGGAATCGGGAGGTGCGACTCAGGAGGGGGAGGAAACGAAAGCCAGCGGCCACGGGCGAGCGCCCCTGCAGACGTGAGCAACCCCAGACGCCGAGGCCACCGGGAATTGAAAGGAAAGCCGCACCACGAAAAAGGCCGAGAGTCAGAAACCGACGGGCCGGTGACGGCGCTGGTCGGAGCCGGGGGTCCTTTGACCCCCAAGGACCCCCAGACACGAGTCTCCGGCATGTGCGCTTCTGTGTGTGGCTCCCCTGGGTTCCTGGCGGGGCTGTGGGCCCCGGAAACCAGTGGCCTCTCCCCATGCCATTACAAGGAAACTCGGGGCCACTACTCACAAAAAGCACTTTGGGGAGTCAATTCAGACTATCCCCCCGACACAATGCCCCCCCAAAAAAAAACCACCCAAGAGAAATATCGTTTTTAGAAGAATTTGTGGAGATTGCCCAACACCCTTTAGCAATCAATTCCAATGTTAACAGTGATTAATAATGGTTTTCACGCAGTTTAAACACGTACAGGGAAATGACAAAATCACCTAAACATCTTCCAGGAGAGAACAGAATCTTGAAACTTTCAACCAAATTTCTCGGTAGCCCGAGACTAGGACGTAGAAGTCATCTGACTTCACTCCCCCACTGGGACGGACTGGTCTTTGCTCAGAACCGGTTGCAGAGCACGGAGAGGCTCCCCCCCCACTCCCGCTGCGTGCGCTGATCTGAATCTCAGAACCTTTCTGATCAGCAGGCTTCCAAGAGCTCCATCCGTCACCCACAAGTTCCCCTAATCAACTCTTTTGCTGTAAATCTCCCACCGTCACCCACCATGAAGCAAGTTCCTCTTCCTATCTAGAATCAGCCACCGGAGGGGGCCACGGTCGGCGGCACCCTAGGCCAGTGGGGGGGGGGTCAAACCTCACACAGCAGCCGCAGATGCAAATCTAGGACGACGCAAACCGTATAAAGGATGCCCTTCAAAGATCCCCCCCTGACCCACACACACCGAGGATCAAGGGTAATGCTAGAATCTAATTAAAAAAAAAAAAAAAAGCATATGAACACAAGAGGATTTTTTTTTTTCTTTTCTTTTTTTTTTTTTAATCTCAGCGAGAGCAGCGGGCCTCTTTCTTCGTCGTCACGTTCTGGGCAAATGTTTGCTTTAAGAGACCACTGCCCGGACACCCTGCTCGTCAGCCTACTTCACCGTTTACGTAACTCACTTCAGTACTTTTCCACAACGCGGGCCCTTTGGGAAGCTTTCGGAGAAGGGGGTTCGAGTGGTTCCTCTTCCCCGGCCTGAGTGCCACTGACTCAGGATTGCTTCACAGCCCCGGCTGGCAGGATGTGAGAAACGCTGCGTGCACACAGTCCCAGCGGGGCTGATTCACGCCGCGGGGTCACCTCGCGGCCGGCCGGGGTTGCTCAAGGAAGGGACCCCTCCGACCCCGAACCGTCCCTCTCGCAGCCAGGCGGCCACGCCCCCTCCCGCAGCGCGCGCACGAGCCCTCCGCGCACGTGCACGCGGCCGGCGGCCGGCGGCCGGCTCGTCTCCGCGCACCGCGGGGCGCGGGGCAGGGCTGGGGGCCCGGGCCCCCGGGGAGGCCGAGGGGGGAGCCGGGGCGGCGGGCCCGGGCGCGGGGGGACACTCGGGCCTCGCTGCGACGCCGCGGGCGGGCGGGCGGGGACGGCCGCGCGCACCCCCGCCGCCCCTCTCACCTCCTGCGCCGGCGGTCCCGGTTCCTGCCGAGGCGGTCGGACAGGCGCCCCAGGAGCGCGGCCAGCCCGGGCCGGCCAGGCAGGAGGCCCAGCAGCCGCCTCCAGAACACCGGCCGGGCCACCGCCGCCGCCATGGAGACTCGCCGCTTCCGCTTCCGGCGCGCAAGAACTTTATTGACAACGGCGCGCGCCGACACGGGGCGGCGCGCGCCGGGACCGCGGCCGGGAGGCGGCGGGGTGCCCGCAGCCTCAGTTTCCCGTCTGGGGACGCGGTGGGGCGGGCGGGGGGTCCCACGTGTGCTGCGCGCCCGGGCGCAGTCGCCTGCATCCCCCTGACTCCGCATCGACAGGTGGGGACCTCACCTTGCAGACCCCCGATCCAGTTGGGCTGAACCTGCGGCCGACGCACCCCCCTGAGAGGTGTGGGTTACACTTTGTGCAAAACTGGGTTACCGCTGACGCACGTCACGCACTGAGCACGGAAAACCCCATTTTCGCCTTGTCAGTCCCGCGGCCTGCAGCCCCCCCCCCCACACCCCGCCGTGTGTGCAGGCTACGAGACACCTGCTGTCACCAGCCCCCGCCCGGGAAGGGATGGGTCTCTGGCCAGATAAGCTGAGGGAGCTCATCCCTGCAGCCAAAGGACACTTGGTGGCCAATCGTTTAAAAGGAAAACGTCGCAGGATCCTGAGACGGGAAAGGTAGCCCTGGTCTGATGTGTGCGGCTCCCTGGGAACCCCACGTGGGCTGGGCCTTGGAAGCTGGAAAAGCCAGAGGAGATAGTCATTTCCTACTTATTGCGGGGTGGGGGGGGGGCGGGGGAGCTGTGTTGCGAGGTTAAAAAGGTGCAGACACACTGGATACAAAACATTCCAAATTCCACTTCCACCAACTTATCCCAAGCAAAGAGCAGTAACAGGTTCCCCCCAGGAATGTTCATCTCAGCATTTGTTCTTGAACTCAAAAATGTGGACGACCGCGCCTTCCCCTCCCCACCCCACCCCCAGGCGCATTACCTGGGCCTTTCCCTCTCCTAAGCGCCAAGGGCCCTGTTTTTGCTTCTGTAACTTGTTTCCTCAGCCTAGCCAGCCCACCTGGCTCACCTCAATCTACCACCTTTGTAACTCTCTAAATAAACTTTCTCTTACAATTTGAAAAAAAAAAATATGTGAATGCAATCCACAGCGGGGGAGTTGGTTACATAAGTAAGGATACGTCACTACATTGCAAAACCAGGCATCCATTAAAAAAAATTGTGTTCTTGAAGAATGTTTGTTCTAACAAAAAACAATGGGGAAGAAACCAACAACCAAAAGAGAATGTTTGTTCTAAAAGAACTGTTTATTGACGTGAAGTGTAAAACCAGGTTACCAAAGAGTCGAATAAAGCTTATCATATTTCGTTAAAAATTGAAAAGAGCGTGTACACAGGGAGACAGGACGTAAGTCCACCAAAATGTCAACACGGGCTGCTGGTGCCATTCAAGAATCTCCACACCGTTGACAATCAGCAGGGACTCACATCGATTTTAATGTTTCCATTAAGATGAGATAGCTTCACAAATAGAAGATGGAATTTGATTCAACTATTCCAAGTTAGAAGTGGTGAATCATCAAATTTCCTAACTTCCAGTAACTGGAGTGAGACCATCGGTTTCACGGCTCCAGGTCTGCACAGCGCCCACAGCGCCCGGGGCGGCTGCAGACCGGCGCTGCTGGATGGCCGTGCGGCGGCGAGAAATGGCGAGCCCCTCCTGCACCCCCGGAGCCCCCTGCCCCTCCAGAAAAGAGCCCTCCCCCCTCTTGGCACTCGGCGCTTTGCTGGGTGAAGGATTAAGTGAGACAAACAACCGCAGTCCTGACCCACTGGGAATTTCCGATCTCCAGTAAGTTCTAGTAACACGCCCTGAGGCCGGCAGCATTGCGTTCGGGAGGCTTACGTGCAGGGTCTACATCAAGTGCAGAGGGCAGGCCTTCTTCCGGAGCCTGCTGACCCACACTGGCCGGGAGCCTCCGGTCTGGGAGGCGGACACTGTCAGCGCTCCAGCCAGAGTGGAGCAACCACCACTTTGCCCCAGAACACGCACATGTAGCGATTGCAACAATTTTAAATGATGGTCTTCAGAGGCTGAGCAATTTTCTCAAGGGTGACATTGACATGACAAGGGCACAAACACTCTTTTCTCCAGGGGTCTCATCTCTCACCGGGGGGGGGGGGGGCTGGTTGGTGAGACCACGTAGAGAAGACAGGGCCGGCTCAGAGAAGGCACATGCCCCAGAGAGTCAGCCTGGGAGCCCCCCAGAGCTGCTGGGGGGGGCAGGCAGTCTGGGCAGCCCCGACCGTTGCCGCTGAGGGGTCCCCGGTGCACCCGATGACCTTGGAGGAAGCATCTGTCCTCTGAGGCCCCCCGCACGGCTCAGACGCACGCCCGCTGAGTCCCCCTCACCCACCGCCTTCTTGTTAGTCCACTCCCTTCTTCCCAAACAGGAGGGGCCAGGGTGCGAATGAGGGGGTCGACGGACAGGCGACAGAAACCGTGTCTTCCCCGACGGAAGAGGAAACCCATTCTCTGGAAGGAGTGTTGACGTCAGGGGGTGGGGGGGGTGAGCTGCTGCCCCCTGATAGCGGAGCTGGCCTGCCCGGCAGGAAACGCCCGGACATCCTGAGCCGAGGGCCTGTGCCCCACTGTCTGTGACTCACCCCCCGGCCCCCCACCCCGCACTGGGATCCTGCCGGCACACAGGGAAGGGCCTCCTGTCGGAGCTGAGCTCTCTGTGTGAGCGAGGGTCTCTCTCAGACAAAGCGCTGCTAGCCCATTGGAGCGGGAGGAGGGGGAGGAAGCCGGGCTGCGCTTCTGCCTCGGCGTGAAAGTTCCGACTGTCAGGCGGCCTGGGGTGGGGGGGTAACCAGCTCTCCCCCCAGCAGCACGCTGTCCCTGTCGGATCCGGAGCGAGCCCGTGTGGCCACTGCCTGACCTCACCAGCCCGGCCTTCCTCTGCCCCCGGGACTGCCCACCTGCGTGGCCGCCTTGGGATCTTTGTGCCCACTGTCCCCTGTGTTACAAGCGTCTCCCCCCCAAGCTCCCCTCATCCTCCAGGCTCTGACCACCCCCTAGCAACGCCTTCCGGGCCCCGCAACACGATTGTACGGTTTTATTTTCTTCCCACCACTCGCGGTGATGGAACCCTATTCACGGGTCGATGGTTGTGTTTTGTCTCCTACCCCCACCCCCCCGCCCCCCAACGTGGGCCCTTAGAGCCTGGTGTCCTCTGGGCGCCCAGAACAGGACCCCGCACCGGAGGTGGCTCCGCAGACACTGGCCCGACTGACGCGCTGGCGCCTGCTGCGGAAGGGGGTCACCCCAGAGTCTGCAGGTCGCAGAGGGGAGCCGCCCTCCGTGCTTTTCCACCCCCCCCGGGTTGGGGGAGGGGGGGACACTGGGACTGGGCCTCCTGGGGGTTTACGGACCTGCCACACAGCTCCCTCGCAAACCTGGCGGCCCAGGGCCCTACCTTCCGGGGCTGGCTCACCTGAGCTCCCGGTCTCCCTCCAGGCCACAGGATCTGTTCTCCCCGCCGAGCTGTTACTCTGATCTTTCCAGTCCTTCATACCCTTTCCCTAAAACTAAGACCTGGCCCTGGCTGGTGTAGCTCAGTGGGTTGAGCGCCAGACTGCGAATCTAAAGGTCTCCGGTTCGATTCCCAGTCAGGCCACACGCCTGGGTTGTGGGCCAGGTCCCCTGGTTGGTGGCTTGGGACAGCCAATTGGTATTTCTCTCCCTCATCAATGTTTCTCTCCCTCTCTTTCTCCCTTCCTTCCACTATCTCTAAAAATAAATAAATAAAATCTTTGAGAGAAAAAAAAAACACAAGAAACCGAGATCTGACCCCAGCCCTCCCTGGCACGAGGCAGGCTCCCGTTGCCTCAGAGAAGAGCTTGGCCAGCGTCCTCTCAGAAGGCCCAGGAGTCAATATTTTAGACTTTGTGGGCCAGATGGCAATGACTCAACTCAGTAGCCAAAGCAGCCGCAAGCAATAGAAATGAGTGTGGCTAGGTTTCCAATAAAACTTTATTTACAAAAACAGTACGCCAGCTCGTGCACCACAATTTGCCATCCTCTGCTTTGGCAAACAGCTGTGCCCTGAGTGGCCCTACGACTGGGAGGCCTGAGGCCCGTGGCACCAGGGCCCCGAGTCGGCGGGAGCCCTGGGGGACCCCCGAGGGGCTGAAGGGCGTCGAGAACGACCTTCCCAAACGCTGAAGCTCCAATCAGCAGCCTGTCCCATGGGGGGGGAGGGGCGGCGGCTGGGCGGGGGCAGCGTCCACATGGTCTTTCCAAGGTCGAAAAGCGTGTCATCTGCCACAGGAAACGCCTGTTGCACAAAGGCTCCCTGGCCACGCCGAGGCCCGGGGTCGGGTGGCATTCCATTGACCAGAAGCCAGAGCCCAGGTTTCTGGAAACGCCGCCGGTGCGCCGCTGTCCCGGTGAGAGGTGAATGCGTCTCTCATCTTCAGGGGAAGCTCGGCCTCTCGCGGCGTGGCAGGCAGCCAGCGCCGCCCCAGCGCGGAGCTGCAGGCCTCCCCGGGCTCCGGCGGCCCGGCGTGGGGAAGCGCCGTGGCCTGTGGCCACTTACGTCCCGGGGAATCCCGGCTCCCTGGGGCTGCAGGGGCTGGGGGGCTCCCTGGCAGAACCTCCCCCTGCCCGGCCCTCGCTCACTGTGCATCGAACCGACAGGCCACACGTGACCCCGGGCCAGCTGGCACCGGAACCCCGGGCAGGACAGGTTTTGCTTGAGAGGAGGCCCACGCCGACCAGGCCCCGGCGGGTGGGAGGAGAGGCTTGGGGCTGGCAGGCCCAGGCTCCGTGTACTTGCGGTTTCCTGGGGTCTAGGAGACGAGATGAAGCCCCTGAGACAACGGCCTCCTGGCCCGCATCAGCCTAGAGGAGCGGGGGCGGGGTGGGGGGGTGGACTTGCAGAGAGCCGCCCGAGGCTCCTGGGAGAGTGGGGAGGTGCGTGCATGCGTGTGTGGCCGGGGGGCGGGGGCCGGGGGGGGGAGTCATCCTGGGCGGCCGTGCTGAGCTCCAGGGCCCCCCGCCCCGCCCACCTTAGGACCCAAGGAGAGCGGCCAGAACCAAGGCCCACACATGCCAC